CTGACTGCAGTACCTGGGCAGGTGTGTCTGTTGTGAATCACACGTGGGGCGCATCTGCTCCAAATGCCGCACTGAGCTTTCTCAGCAAACTTACTCCTTTCTCTGCTGCAAATGATACTGATAGCTTTCTTCTGAGAGTGATAAAGAGAATCTTTGAACATTTTACTGATATTCCATCTCAGTATACACATCCAAATGACACAAGAGCAGAGTTCTCTATAGTGAAGCTCTGGCACAAAGCATATCAAGCTGCCAAGATTCCAGATAGGTTATCTAAAAGAAACAATTCATCTTCCTGTGAATGCTGGAGGAAAGTGGACATCTGTGGTTTAGAATGTTCTTCAGGTATCTGAGAAGGTTGTGGTGTGTATAGTTTATATCATAAGGGCCTTTTTCTGCAAGGTCGTCTTTTGCATCTGCTGTCTTTATCACTGATTCTAAGTTGCTGGAGATGGTTTAGAGATTAAGATTTTCTTACTATGTCTGCGTACCCCTTGATTCCACCTACTGCTAAAGGGAAAACTGCATCAACAAGTGCTGTGGGTGGACTACGACCTGAGTAAGATAGTCTCTGTATTGAAAGTGTGCAGGTGAAGGTTATCCAATGTCATCCTAAGAGGGACCCTGGCCTTGTATAGAAGGTTGGACTTGAGTGTGTGCAGTTGGGCTTTGTCACGAGAGAGTTCACATGCTAATTTGGCAAGTTATTGAGCCAAAGCCCCACTTTAGGGTCCTATTTACATAAATTGCAAACTAGGTAAGATAGGTTTTTTTCTCTCTGTTTTTAAAAAGTAGTCTATCTCTGACAATTTTTCTCCCTGAAACTTTCTGCACTACTCAAAGTTGAGCATGGAACTTAATCCCTGATTTTATAATTATATTTTGTAGGGCTGGGGTGACTTGTAAAGAGAGAAAAGCTGACAGATGAGACCACCGCAGACTAGAGGTCAGGGCACCATCACGGAGGAGCGTGGCTGTATCCCTGACACCGTGGGGCCATGGTCCACTCCTCATGTTTCTGAGCCTTGGGACTTACAGATTCAGTGCTTCGAGTCTCATTTCTGCACTGCACAGTGGAGAGAATGTGGCTCTCTGGGCTGTAGTGAAATCGTTTAGGACGCCCCAGGATGCTGAGTACCTGGGGCTTTGCTGGTGGCTGTCTTCTCCAGTGTGTCACAGATGGTCTTTCGGTGAGCTCAGCAATCCCAGCTAGCTCTTCTTGCTTCAAAGTCCACGCTCTGCAGTGGAAGCAGGTCCCAAGTCATCTGCCTTCTGGTCCATAGAGCACAGGGTTGGTTCTATACAAGTTGGGGTCCTTGTTAACACTAGGGTAAAATCAACCATCCAAAAAATTTAACACATCAGACTATTAGATTAGAATCAAAGATTAACCAATCAAACTTTTTTTTTTTTTTTTTTTTTAATGTGGACTGGGAATCAAACTTGGTACCTTGTGCTTGCCAGGCAGGTGCTTAAGCCACTGCTGAGCTATATCTCCAGCCCCAAACTTTTTTTAGAACAGTATAAGCTTTCATTTTATATATTTTTTTAAAGTCACTACTAAAAACATGTAGAGAATATCTCAAGATTCTGTGTTTGCACGTGTATCTTTTTTAATGAACAGGAAGAATAGTGCATATATTACAAATGTTGGAATTGTGATTTTTAAAGGTTTGCTAATTCTCCAACCATTTGTCCTCCCATTCACAGACCCTTCCTTTGAAAAGCTCCTATCTTAAGTGTGCGGCAGGGTCCAGGGCACAGCTAGTTAGGTGTGGCACACCCTGCCTAGAGCTCTACCATGCAAGAGAGCAGCTGCCAAGCCAGCACCATCCCTAGTCACAGAGAGCTGGGATCCCTTGTGGGCTCTCCCACCTCTCCCTGTCCCTGAGCTGCAGAAAAGCTGTTACCAGAGAGCTGGTAGAGCTTGGTATAAGAGCAGCAGCTGAGGGATTTGGGGCTGCAGAGGCTTACAGCTGCGATGCCATCTTCACCTGTTCATTCCTTTTAGAACTTCCACTGTCCAGTTGCAACCTATTAGCATCAGTAATATTTCCCCCACCTGCAATCTACCATTTAAGAAAAAAACTTAAGTAAGGTATGTGAAGGAAAAGTAGAGATTTTAAGCCATGTGACATAAAAAGAGAACCCTCAAAAGTGCAATGTTGGAATTTAGACTTCCAGCTTCTTACATCTTTGTTTAGAAGGCTGTGTTGGAATGTTTTTCCAAGATTGATGTTTAAAAGGGATTCCTATTCTAATTAACAGTCACTTCAAGGTTTGACCCTTACATTTTAGCTTCTATATAGCAGTAGTTCTTTAAGATGAATTCTTAGGTTATTCAGTACTGAACAGACTTTGACTCCTCCTGATCTCCTGAGTGATACACTGGATGTGATCTTTGGCCATAAGCGTTCTTGCAGGTGGTGAGTAAGCTTGTTTGGAGGTAGAGTGCAGCCATATTACTAGTCACCTTACTAGGCCTGAGAGTCACAGTGTTGTTTTCCATGATCCGGGCTCAGCTTGCAACCCATTTACTGGCCTCACCAGGCCTTCTCTGCACTCTGTACTGTGGAATGATTGTCACCCAGTGCACAGGGCTCTGTAGGGACCAGTACATTTTAGTCCTGCAATGACCTTAAAAGGCACCTAATTTAATCTGTTTATATTACTTGATTGGGTAACTCAGGCCCAAAGAGGCCTTGGCATTTACTTAAGGACTTCCATTAGTTAACATTCTCATCGTTTACAAAGTAGTGAAAGTTAAACTTAAATACTGTACACTTTTTTGAGGTTGTGTATGTGTTTAATGGAAATAGAAGATGCCAAGTTGTCTGTTGCAAAATGTTAAAAAGTAACAGCTCTTTTTTTCAGTACTTGTTCATATTATAAAAGAAACCAGATATAAAAAGTGCTCATTTTCTTAAAAACATGTATTTTTCATATGATGCTGTGACCAAGAATATAGAATAATTATAATCTCAGTAAAGCTGCATTTCTGATTTCAAGTGTGTGGAGTGTGAACCCAGGGCCGTGCTGCAGCAGAAGTCGGATTTTCAGCGTGCTTATCCTTCCTCTCTGTGGTTTTCTGCAGGGATGTAGTCCTGTAGTGGGAAGGTGGCTGCCCAATCTTGAGCCACTGTCTCAGCAAGCAAGTCATTCTGTCCACCCCTCCCCAGAGATGAACAGGGTTGGGTTTGGGCCCGTCCTTTGCTTGTCCCCCCAGTATTGTAGGACTCATTAGCAGCAGCCTATTTTTTGGTAGAAAGATGTTCTGAATCCAACAAGTGAGTAAAAATGGTCTTGTGTTTCCTAATAACGAAGTGCATGACTAATAGCAGCAGTCAGTTCCTGCTATCAGACTGGTAAAAGCAGGAGAGCATTTGCTAATCCATGAGTGTGGCCCGGATATCTGAAGGGTATGACTTGAACCAAATTTCAAACTCATAAATACACTGCAGAAGAGGGGCCAGCTCGCAACAGGCAGCTATCGCTGAGACCTGTTCCATAACTGGGCCTCCTGCCCAGGGCCCGTGTCCCTGTATGACTGGGGTGTGTGCCCTCATGGGAGGCAAGATGTTTCTTGTCCATCGTCTGTGATTGACTGGCTAGTACAGAGAGCCTTGAGAAGGCATTTCATCCTGCTGTGCAGCTTCAGTTCTTGGTGTATGAAGAACAAAAAGACAGAGTGGTCTGGTTTCTGTCTCCCACAGCAGCATTTTTCTCCCAAAATTACCTGATGGGATTCCAGAAAAAAAAAGGGAATGAATGCTAATAGATCATTTAGTCTTCTTCCCAAAGCTTAGTTGTTTATCCCGTATGTTTTACATTTTATCTTTGAAATTTCAAGTTTTAAGGCATGACTTTGTTTTTTTGGACCAGAGGCTAAAATACAAGGCCAGTTTTGATTTGATAAGTAGTGATGTTGGAAGTAGCGTTTGACAGAGTGGGGCAGCAGCTACATACGTTGTCTGTGATCCTACTGGAATTTCACACAAGATGCTGCTTCTCTGAGAATTCTACTGAGCTTTTTTGTTTTGTTTTTATCAAGGGAGAGCCACTAGGTCAAGAAAGCACAGGGTCCATTTGTATGTGCTGAGTTTGGGTGGCTGAATTAGCTACATAAGCAAAGCAGCGCCAACTACATTCCCAGTAGTAGTTGAATCCTGATCTGGAATCCATGCGGAGTGGCTGCACCTGATGCGAGTGAGACAGAAGTCATTGCCCATGTGGGTTAGAGTCGGCTCCCGTCCCACGTGGAGAGTTAGCCTATGATACCTGTTTCTAGGTCAGCACACAGATCTGTGTACTCCATAAGGGAGTTGAAATCACTGTCAAAATCACAAGGGCTGGGAGATAGCTTGGTGGTCTAAGCACCTGCCTGGCAAGCTCAAGGCCCTCAGTTCAATCCCCAGTACTCATGCCATTCTTTTCTTTTCTTTTTTTTTTTTTTTTTTCTGAATGTATTTTATTTTATTTATTTATTTTTTGGTAGGACAGTTTACTCGTGCTGAGCTGGCCACTGAAATTGGGTGTGATAGCGCATACCTGTAATCCCAGGATTGGGGAGACTGAGACAGGAGGATCACTACCAGGAGTCTGAGCTGTGTAGCAAGACCCTGTACCAAATAAATAATTTTTTAAAAGTTAAAAAAAAAAAAAACACAGAGCTCCAGAGTTTCAGTGACCCTAGTTTTATGGGAGACCCTGGGGACTTGATCACCATTTATAGCATTGTTCCTGAGGAAATGTTTACACAGAAATCCATCTAGGCAGCTTGCCAGCTAACATCCTACATTGGCTGCTGTCAGTCCAGCTACGGGCCCACCTGGTACTCAGCCAGAGGGTGTGCAGCTGCCTTGCCCTGTTCTCTTCAGCCTGGGCCCAGCAGCAGGGAGGAAGAAACAGGCAGCTGGCTCTCAGGCTGTCCTAACTGCATGTGCTGTGCATGGAGTCCTGGCTGCTTGATGCTTACCACTTTCACCTCTCTCCCCACGCAGGGTGAGTGCAGCCCCGCCACTGAGAACAGAAGTGAGACCTCCACCACAACCACCAGCACCTTCACCATCCAGGAGTACTTCGCCCAGCGGATGGCCCAGCTCAGGAGCAAGCCACAGCATCCCGCCCTTGAGCCTGGCCTCTCAGAGATCCATGTGGGATGGAAAGGGGGAAAGAAGAAAAAAGGAGAGGCAGCAGATCAGGACGTGGAGAATTACCTCCACACCAAGGCCAGGCAGCCTAAAAAGACAAGGCGGGGAAAAGAGGAGAGCCAGGGATGTATGGCCAAGAAGAGAGCCCAGGCCCAGTGGCAGCCTGCAGATCCCCATGGGGATGAGGCCACTGAGGACTGCGTCCAGGCCTCTGGTGACCAGGAGTGTGCCCCGAAGCCCAGAAAGAACAGAGCAAAGACAAAGCTGCCACGGCCAGTAGAGGTAGCTGTCGAGGCTGCACCAGGTGAAGCCCCTGTTAAAAAGAAGAAGAAGAAGAAGAAGAAGAAAGCTTTCACATGAGGTCTCTCCAGCCAGGACCTCCGGCCACTAGGCTGTCAGTGCTGCCCAGCAGACTCTGGCTAAGTCAGAGCAGAGTCAACCCATGGAGCTGGGCATAGCCTGAGTGTGCCGGCAGGTGCCATAGCTGCCTTCATGCCTATCCTCCGGATCTTGGCTCACATAACAAATAAATCCTTTTAAACTCTGAGCCACTCACATGAGTGTATTCATACACACAACTGTGTGCGTGTGTGGGTGTCGGTGTGCTCTGGCTGAGACCTCCCTTGGGAGCTGGGACTTGTGCTTCTTCCTGAAGAACTTGGTCTAATTAAGGGATTAAGAGGCAACAGCTTGGATTCAGTGAGTTCCTTCTGTTCTATAGCCAACTGCACCCCTCTGCCAACTTGGAATTAGGTGACTGCACTCCCGGGTGAGGGGCTTTGGTGTGTTGTACTCTGGGTTTGCTGGAGCAGCTGTCCTTACTGGGTGTCTTGGTCACCTCAGGCTCTCAGCTGACACCTCTGCTGAGGACAGTCACCCTCTGTGGCTCTGCTTTAAGTGTGGTGTGAGGCCAACAGGTCCTCAGAAGGATGCAAGCACTGTGAAATCAATAGTACCTTGAAGTCAGTCTCTTCTTGACTGAGACTGCCTGCCCAGAGCTCTTAAAGATATCTGTCTATAGCAGTCAGAGACACTTTTCAGCCCTGCCCCGGCTGGAGGCTGTGCTGTGGTCTGGCCACCTTCACCGGCTGCTAGCAGAGCAGTGCAGCCTCAGCCCCTCGCCGCGGTGATGCCTCCCCTGCTGCTTTCCTTCTGTGCTTCCTTCTTTTCTTCCTACCCTGTATGCTTTCATCCCCTCTTGCTTGCTCTTGTTCTCAGTTCCCAGTTCCTCACTGCCCCTGCGCCACCTCCCTGTCCTGCTGAGGCATCTTGTACCTGTGCCACTGGCCCTGCAGCAGACAGGGTGAGGCCCTGGCTGGCATTGTTCACTCAGTTTATAGATCACTGCTGGTAACAGGAAAACTCAAGGCACACTCTCATGACCTTTTGCCCTTGATTTTAACTCTCAAGGTCAAACATGACATAAGCCTAACCTCAACAGCCTTAAACCTGAGAGAGAACACCATGAGCATTTGGGTTAAGTCTGTAAGTACAGTGAATGGTGCTATCTGAAAAGACCCCCACCCCCACTGCACATGTACACACACACACACACACACACACACACACAATTCCTGGGCTCAGCCTGGTCTCTGAATTTTATGGTCTCTCCAGGTGTAGAATCCCAAGCTAATAAAGCCCCAGGAATTATGCAGTCACTTTCCTCACAGAGGGCACATGCCCAAGCTACCTCTGCTTGTCCCATCTTGCAGGTGAAACTGGAGGCCCAAGAGGGAGTGGGAATGCATGAAACCCAGGGGCACTGTCTCCCGTGAACAATTCCTTTCTGCCTTGTATTGCATTAACTTTAACTTCTCCATCAATAAGGAGAGCTGGCCACTGGTTTGCGTGCATGAATGTCATAAAACAGGCAGATGCTGTGGGGATGCAAAATCTGCAGTAGCCTGAGCCTGCAGAACTACAGCTTGTACAGAAAGGATGCAGGTGTGGCTGGAGCTGCCTTGTGGGCTGGAAAGCAGGCTCCTGGACCATTTTAACAGGCAGTATTCTGAGAATGAGGTACAAGTTTAACTGTAGAGAGCATTTGATTTGAAAGAGGGGGAGCATTTTCTCTAGAAATCCTTAGCCCTTCTCCCCCCACCCCTGCCAACTCTTAGCTACTTTATTGTGGATCAGAGCAGAAGTTGTAACAGTGAAACACTCAGAATTGCATTTCATAGGCCATGATACTTTTGAAATTGTTAGCACAAATGAACCATAGTTTTTGCCTGGAATTATCTGACCAGGTGGAAAATACATCAGTTTTATGTTCTGTGCTTTCCTTGGCATCCTTCAGTTTGAAGAGGAAAAACAGGTTCCCAGGAAAAATGTCCAATGAAGAGGCTCCTCTGTATTGTCTTGCAGCAAATTTCTTTCCTCTTCTATTAATTTTAATAGAGTATTAGAAGATGAAGTCTTATCCAGACATGATGGTACATTGCCTATAAGCCCATCTCGCAGGAGGCTGAGGCAGGAGGATTGTAGTGAGTTCGAGGCCAGTCGAGGCTGTATTGTGAGTTCAAGGCCCACCTGAAATACGTGAGGAGACCCTGTCTCAAGAAAGAGGAAGCCCTACGTGCCTGCCCTTATTTCAGACACTTGAAATTGATCAACTCCTTGGAACCCTCAGACAATCCCAAGAGAGAGCCATCATTACAATGCCCTTTACAGATGCGTCTCTTCTAGCATCTACAAGTAGGTTGATGCTACTCTGTGGACCCACAAAGCTCCAGACCTCTCTGCCAGTCAAACTAGCTCTTCGTCCTCAACCCAGCCCTTTACTAGCCTAGCAAGGTTCCGTGTTGCCAGTGCGCATGTAGGTGCTGCTTCCGCGCAGGAGTGGATCTGGAAGCGGCTGGCAGATTGCAGGTTTACAAGTAACTCTAGTGGTGTGACTCGTGTCTGCTGTAGAAAGCACCTTTGGGAGCACTGTGCAGTAGACATGCTCGATGGATTTGCTTTTCCAACCTAATTGGTTGGTTATCTGCAAATTGGGTAGGGAGGTGCCTTAAAGCCTGTTTGCAAGCCTAAAAAAAAAAGAACTTTTAAGTTTTAGGAAATACTGATGCTTTGGGAAGATAAAACTCAAATGAGCACTTGTGTCTAGCACAGGTCATACCTCTGCCTTCCCTCCCTCACCTCTTCTCTGAGTGGCAGGCGCAGGCCAAGACCTGTCTTCTCAAGGAATCAGAATCCCAGGAGAGTTTCGGCAGTCTCCGAGTGATCTCAGCTCTTGATCAGCAAGCAGCGGCTGTATTTAGTTTTGAGTAAGAACTTCCTTGCCACCGCCACCCTGTTTATCTCGAAGCTTCTGCAGCCTCTGCAGTTTGGAGCCTGTTGTGCTGGCATGTGGAGCCCAGGAGGTCAGATTGGGTGCTCCAACGAGATTTTATGGTGATGGGTTATTAACAAGCAAATTAGTACCATCTTCTAATGAAGAAGGTGACTAAACTCCTTGCATAGAAGGAAGGACACAGTCTATTTAGGAAATACTGAATATACTAAAGTGACGTGAGAGCTGTCCTAGAACAAGTAAGCAAGAAAAGGCCAGTGAGGCACTGCAGACTCCAGGCTACATGGATACAGATAAGCAAGGGAGGTGAGCGGGAGCTCCCTGCAGAGCCCTGAATCTGAAGGCCACTTCCTCCACCTCAGTGGTCGTGTGATAGCAGCAGTGAGTTTTAAAGGGAGGGAGTTGCAGTGAGTTCTTCAGGGGAGGGAAGAACCAAGTAATTAATTACATCTGAGATGTTCCATATTTTCTGTATTGGATTTCCTTTGAAAAGGAAAGGTACATGGATGATGAAAAGCAATTATTCTAAAAACGCTTGCTGAGCCTCAGCTTTGGGCTATAGGTGAATTCAAGGTGGAGTAACTCATACATTATGGAATCTACCCACATCTGCATCCCACCAGTTTCTGTTCATGTAGTGGGCCACCGTGTCATGGAGCAGTCTCAGTGGCCTGGCCTCTGCTTGCCTGCCTAGGGATGTTCCAGCCCCCACTCCCACTCAGCATTCGCCAGACTTGCTCATCAAGTTGGGCTGTAAGCAATGAGGACTGCTAACTCATTATTTGGCTTCACCCTGAGGTGCGCTTCCTTCTGAAATCTCCCTTCATAACAGCATTTCTAACTTTGTTTCATGAGTGAGATGGTGGCACAGGCATTCCTCCATGTGCGAGCTTTTGCCTAAGCCAGAAGCTATGTTGAAAGCAAGAACCAAGTTCACTTCCTGTGCCCATGTCACTAGCAGCCTTGCTGAGGGAACAAGTTGTGGAGTGGGAGGTGGCTTACCCATTTCATGAGGGACACCCTGAAACTGATGAGACAAAAACAGGTAATAAAATGTTGATTTGTTAAAATTTTCCACTCACGCCTTCAAAACTTGGAGAGATAAGGCTGTGAGGAATCTGGGGTGAGCTTGGCCCCTGGGCTGAGCATCCTCATCTTTTTCACCTTCCAGAGACTCCCAGGAGGCTTGTCTCCCAGCTTCCAGCCATGCGCCCTTCCACTGCCCTCAGCCAAGCTTAAGGAGGATGCTAGAGGTCTTTGAGTTTTAGGTCGGAGATCTGTCCTCGCCTTTGATCTCTGTTCTCGGAACGACATGGGTGCTCATGACTGGTGTTTCTGCTTCCTTGTAGACGATTCCCAGATGTGCCTCTCTGTCCCCCTCTGATCTGGAGCTTTTATCCTGCATCTCCAGCAGACCCCACAGAGGCCCTCAGATCAGAGGGTCACTAGGAACTCTCATTCATCTACCTCCCATGCCATGATGTTTTTATCACAGGCTCTCATTCATAGTGGCTCCAATATTAAGGATCATTTTCAGGCCGGGGAGGTAGCTCAGTGGAATAAGTGGCTGCGTGACAAGAGCAAGAACAAGATCCTGCATTCAATCCCTGGTACCACAAAAAGTTTTCAGCAGCACAGCCTAGTTAAATGTCTGCCAGCAGTGCACAAGAAGCGGATCACTGCCCTCACAGCTCAGGGCTTCTTACATTGTGAATGCTGCCCTGGCTCACGGATCTCGTGCCCCTTTGAGCCCTGTTGTATTCCACCAAGTCACTCCAGACTCCTGCTCCCATGGGCCACCATGGCTCCCGTCCCTCTGGTCCCCTAGTTGCTACCTTGGTTTGCCTGTGACTGTGGGTCTCTGCCATCACCTCCTAGTGGGCTTCCCTTCACCCACTGCCTTAGAAGCACTGTACCCTTCTGGATCATCGTAGTACTTCTGCACCCATCCAAGTCTGCCATCATTACAAATTTTTGATATATCACTGTCTCCATTTCACCCTGGATTCTATGAAGACAGCATTAATCTCTATACTTGTAGCACCCAAAATTAAGCCTTGCACAAGTAGAGCTCTTAAATAAAAAATGAACAAACCATACCTAGACAAGAATCTCCTCTGAAGGCCTGAATTATATCCCAGATGATGGTGTCTCGCTGTCACTACACCTCTTCTTTAGGGTTCCCTTCAAATCCTGTCAGTGAATCTGGTAACTCTGAAACCTCCACACCCAGTCTATTTAAAGGCTTGAT